TGTATTTATTTAACCTGGAAAGTTAACGCGATGTGCTGTCGTAATAGGATTATGCATATTGGTAGACTGCCAACTAGTTTGGCTACGCGACAATGGTTGGCACACCACTTATTTGCTGTCAGCAATGCTGGAAAAGATTATCCTCTCATAGTTTTTGATTTTTGGTCTAGTTGCTTTTGCAAATCCACTTTTTATCCGACCATTAGTTTTTTTTTTAGTTTGAAATGAAATCTGCTATGCATACGCTGGTATGTGCTGAGTGCAATTTGCAAGTATGCATGTCATCGCTGGATAAAGGAGATGGCGACAAGTTAAAAGCATTGCGTCGTTTGCTGGTTTGTTTTGTATTTCTCGCCAAAATTTTTACAGACCGTGCGTGTGAGCCACGCATACCTGGAAATGAATTTGAAGCCTTTAACTTGCATGTGGACAGGGGATGTTCCCTTAAAGTTTCAGCTTTCCAGCTTTTCTACTTATAGAGTTAACAATTTTTTCGCAAAAAGTTTCCCTTGCCTGCACGCAATACTTAGACCTTTAAAATTGGCACCACGTCCTGGGATGGCTCTCGGCTAGGGAATACACTGACAAAATTATATCATCGAGGATGGCTTAGTTGCCGAATTAAAATACACGGACAGACGCATACACAAACATACAGAGCGATGAAAATCCTTAGCAGGCAAACGTTCTCTGGACGAAACTGCGCAAAATGCGTGGTCGCACCGGATACGCTGGTGCGGGCCGCTATTTATTATGCTTTTGTTGTGCTGCTACAGTGAGAAAAAACGTACATTGTCAAGAAATCGTCCGCGTTTGTGTTCGGAAGTGAGTGAACTTTGTAACTCATTCACAGCTCAGCAACCAGACAAGCTGCGAAGCTGAAATTTTGTGGGGATATTCTATATTCACGTGCAGTCTTAATTCGTCTTGGAAGTGAAATTCGCTGCACGCAGATGTGAAAAATACTTAATTTTATCGCAAACCTAAAAGCGCACTCCTCTCTCGACTTCAAATCTGCATTTTTTCAGTGAACGAGCATTCACCAAAAAATGACCAGGCTTTATGCAAAAGACTGATAATCATGCACGCTGGTGGATCGTGCGGCTCCATAATGCAACACCTTCATCCCAGCCGACGCTTTTTCCGCTTGCATGCGAGGAGGCGAAAACAGCCAGTATGAGACCAAGCGTTAGACTATAATGCATGGACCATTCCTACTGTTAGCAGTCTGCAAATTTATCGCAAAAACGCGTGACCAGCAAGCCTGATGTGTTGATTTACATACATGCAAAAACACATTAAAATCCCTTTGCAACTGTTACCCGCCGTCTAAAAAAAAAAACGGTGGCACCTTTTTGCGATAGGAGTGGGAGGATGTTCAGCAGCAGCTACTTTTATGACAGGTTTGCTGATGATATGCTTTGAGGGTGTTGTAGTACGCGCTGTAGTCATACCAGATGAATTAGGGGCAGATTTTTGGTTCAAAAAAAGCTTTAGTAATATTCACTGTTTGGTTCAGACCATCATGCTACATAAGTTACTTTGATCCACACAATGTTTCAGAAATACCATAACCTGGACAAGTTGGTGTCCTGTGTTACCTTATTTGCATCTCGGCCATCCGGTGTTAGATTTGTGACGGTGAGGGGATGCGCAATGAAATCTGGAATACCGTTACAGTGCAGACTTTGTACGCATCAATTCACTTGTGCAGCCGATATTGAGAAGCATCAAATAACTGAACATCCAACTGATGTTACAAAGTTGAAGTGCCCGGTGTGCCCACGCTATTACGTCACTGATCTTTTCTACCGGTCAGTTTGTAAGCTGTGAGAAAAGGACAGTCAATTTTTGTTTAGCATCGGTTCACGCAAAAATGCAAAATGAACGCTATTTGATGTGCCGTAAGGGATAGTATAATCCAGCGCCCTTTGCATTTTGTTTGGCCCAGTGTACAGAACTAAAAAACAATAAGATGACTGCGGTTCAACGGATCTTGCTTCGAAATTTTCTGGACTTCTCACTGTGTATCTGCAAATCGCTGCTGAGGGAAGAACTCACGAATAATTTCTTCAGCAAATCGATTGAACATAGTAGGATAGGACAGGCAGTCTTCAGATGAAAAGGCTTCCAGCAATTACGGCATTAGCATCGAACTCATCAGAAACGGAGGTTATGAAATTTGAACAGCTCTCGCATGACGTTCAGGCATTTGACCCAAAGAGAGATGTTCAGCAGTTCGAAAGAGTGGTTTGCTTTACAAAAAGGGCGATAGAGAGGATATCTGAAAAATTATTGCTCGATTTGCTTATTCCGTCCTAAACATAGACTATTCATGAGGGTTGTCACTAAGTGGGTAACAGTACTATTCAGCCGACAGCAGTTGAGAGAGAAGTTGGGTTTCTGAGTTTTAACGGCAGTACGGATCACATTTTCAGTTTAAATCAGCTGCGAGAAAATATCGACTTCCTGCCTTTAGGACAGTCTATAACAATTCATAATCAATAATAAGTAATAGTAAAAAACATACAAACGGAATAACTGCCTACAGTGAAAGGATAAGGCGGAAACAGAAATTTAAGATAAGGGATAACTGAATCGGAAAGTTTCGGTCCACTAAGTCGCATACATCCCAAAACAGTATCACAACTGGACTCGTCATTGCTGCGGTTGTGGTAAATGACAAAAAAATATATTAATTATAGATAAGTTGTAAAGTATTCCCTGTCTGTCTCCTATTCGTTATTTACAAAAAAGTGGCCAGCGCACCGACTGCCGGTGCGAAGATGCGTTTTTTGCATAGTTCCCAGCAGCTTTTTATCACTAACGGCCCTAGTTTTTCCGGCAGATGCTACTAGTTAAGATAATTGAGACTAGTCACCAGGGCTGTCTGAAAACATCCCTTTAAAATTTCAGCTTTCTAGCTTTCCTAGTTTCTGAGTTAGCAACTTACCCGTAAAAAACTTTTACAGGCCGGCGCATAGGAACTACATACTCGAGGACTGGGTTTGAACTCATTAATACCTACGTGGACGCGAAACATCTCCTTAAAATTCCAGTCTTCTAGCTTCTCAGGTTCCCGAGTTAGAAACTTACTCGAAAAAGAACTTTCACGAGTTCAAAACCAACCGTCGGGTATGCGCAGGTACCGCGCAGGGCCGGTTTTGAACTCATTGATACCTACTTTAACGGGGAACTTCCCCTTAAAATTCCAGCTCTCTAACCTTTCAGGTTCTCAAGTTAGCAATTTACCCGAAAAAACTTTGGCGGGCCCGTACGTGGTTGCCACGAGGGTAAGACCCCCCATTTTGGATATGGGGCCCGTACCTGCATATAGATTAAGTCCCAAAGTTTCAGTCCTGTAGCTTTTTTTAGGTCTCGAGATGAAATCGGTACAGACGAAAACACAAACATACACATACAGACAACCTCTCGTCAATATGCGTTGTCTGCATTACATAGACGCCAAAAAAACACATAAAAAGCATTTGATAGCGCAGACTTGAAACTGTGCTGCGAGCTCTTGTAGTTGAAGGATTAACAGAAATTATGTGGAAATTGTTAAGAAAGTGAATATTAGTTGCTGGCTGGACATCTCCCTTTCTTTTGTTCCGATCTGAACACCGAGCAGTATGTTTGGAATAACCAAGTTCAGAATATAACTTTGTCGAGAATTCTACACCGTTTATCGTTTGTTTCACAATTATCCCGTTTTCATTTTGTTTGTCAGTTTGACTAGCATATTTTAGAGAGCACCTATTATCTCATTTGGGCGAAATACAGTCCATGACGAGCTTATTGGAGAAAGGCATCTTCTTGGCTCCTGCGTGTTCAACAGATACATGCCCAAGGATGGGGCCTTTGCTCCAAAGAGTTGCTGGCGGCATTGTACCACCATGGATTGAAAAACCAACAGATGTTTGTTTACCATTATTTACATTTTTTTTTCCGGGCTATTTTGCACTGTATTTGATGCTTTGGGTGTGGTGGGATTACGTAGAACGTTTCGCAGCATCAGAAAACTATTTAATCGTATTGGAATGTGGACATTTTTCCTCAATCAGATGTGCATTTGCATCAACTGAAACAGGAGGAAATGCTGTGCTAGTACTTGCAAAAAATTATCGAAAACAGCTATTGATTGGGAAGCAGTTAACTGTATTGAATAGCCTGAAATTGCCCTTCTTTTGCTCAGCGGTATCTTTTTTGAGTTCGCCGTGGCGTTTTTGGTCGAGCATCTTTTATCATCATGT